AACACAACAGAGGGTCCCTGATGGAGCAGTAGAATGATGGGATGCAGAATTCAAATGCTAGTAAGAAGACCAGACTTAATGGTCTGACTGAGACTGGAGGCGCCCCAGAAAGCATGGCCGCTGGACTCTCTGTCACCCCAGAAGTAAAACAATTTCTGAGGCCAACTCTTCAGACAGGGATTGGACTGGACTGTGGGACATAAAGTGATACTCGTGAAGAATGTGCCTCTTAGTCAAGTAGATACAAGAAACCAAAGGGGCGGCTTCTGTCCAGAGGTGAGAGGGGAAGGCAGACAGAGTTAGGAGCTGGTTGAATGTTCATGAGGAATTAGGAGCGGAGGGGAGGAGTGTGCTGTCGCAGAATAGGGTGAGCGGTTAGGGTCTCATAACAATGTATGTAAAAAAAAAAAATTTGTATGGAAGACTAACTTGAAATGTAAACTTCATTTAATTACAACAGTAAAAAAAAATAAAGAGAACATGATGTGTTCTGGGAAGTGTAAAGAGGTCATTATGGCTTTAATGAAGGATATGGAGAGGTGGAAGTGAGAGAGAAACACTTGGTTAGGGATGGGAGAGGCTGAGAGGTAAGCAGGAGCCAGATCAGGAAGGGCCTTACATGCTGGTGTAAGGAATTTGGATTTTATCTTGAAGATCGATGTGAGCATTGTACTATGATCAGATTGTCATTATGGAAAGGTGACTACATTTGCAGGAGACAGATTGCAGAAAGATAGATTGGAGGTCATTTGGATAACAGTCACATCAGAGATGATAGAGGCATAAACTGTAGCATCCAGAAGCTATGAGGATAGAGAGAAATTCATAAGGTAGTAAAACCAGGGCTTATGTTGGACTCCAACTCTGTGGTTCAATAGTTGTTTAAAATTTTAGAAGAAGAAAAAAAAAAAAGTTGTTATCCTTATTTCTTTTTTCCTCCCAGCCCACGTATAATTTATCAGCAAGTCTTTTCAGTTTTACCTCAAAAGTTCACCTAATCTCTCTTTTCATCTATCTTCACTTCCACCACTCTATTCCAAGACACCATCATCTTTTGTCTAAACTACTGCGAAAGACTCCTAACTGTCTCCGTCCTTCCTCTCTAGTCCCTCATTGATTTTCCACACAGCCAGTGGAGTAATCTTTCTGAAAAGTAAACCAGACCATATGACTCTCCTGCTTACAGCTTCCAATAGTTTCACTTCATACTTAGAATTAAATATCAACTGCCTTTCTCTGGTTTATAAAGCCCAATCTTTGCTTACCTCTTAGACTATTCTTTGAATTTCTCTACAAATTAACCTCAGTGACTTTACTCCGCCATATCCTTTGTCTGGAATGTTCTTCTTCTAGATCCTTTCATGGTTTTACCCCTTCTTACCAATCAGGTCTTAAATTATGTACTAATCAGTATCTAAAATTGTTTTATGTGTACATTATTAATATATAGAAATGTCCATTGTCTGTCTCTCCTCCCTACAGTATAGGAGCAAGACTTTGAATATCTTGTCCACTGCTATATCCCAGCATCTAGCACATTGCCTGACACATAAAAGAATCTGAATAAATATTTTTAGAAAGAATGAATAAATTAAAGGGGGAAACGAGAAAAAGAATGCTGTTCTGGTTCCTTTAGCTCCCTTTTCCTGAGAGCAGTTGAGGGGAAACCACTTCCCTTTTTTGTCTGGTTTACCTTTCTCTTCCAGCCTGAAGTCCCCTCCGTGACAGCTGAGTATTAGGAGATGCAGGACGGTTTCATTTGCGAATGGAAAACTGGCAGTCTTCCCAACTTTCTGTGTTTATAGTTTCTGTGTAGAGTAAGACAAGCCACAAATCTGCTCCAGGACTTACCAGGTAAGGAAATTGGAGAGAAAAAGGAAGAAGGAAAGAGGGTGGTTTTGTTCCTTTAAGATCATGTAGCTCAAGTTTACAACCACTGCTGTACCCTGGATTGTTGATTTTCCCAGTGTGGTTATGTTATCTGTGGTTTATTTTTAAACCTCAATATAAAGATGTGATAACTATATATTGCAGTAATAATACACTCTCAATAAATGCTTTGTTAATATTGAAGCACTCCAATCAGGAATCCACTCTCCAATGGTTTCTAGGCAAATGACTGTCATCAGAGAGTTCACTAATTAGCAGCAGGCTTGACAGAAATACATTTTCATTGGTGAAATGAGTAATGTTGAAGACATGTAGTTGGCTGGAAAGAATATAGAAGCATCTCTGCCCTTTCAGGATGACAGCAAGGACCTTCAATATCTGCCTTTCCGTGAACAATGTATCCAGCAAGCTCAGCAGCCCAACTCAGCGTCTGGGTCTAGGACTCATTTTTGCCCTCTCCCTACCTCCCACTCACCCCTTTATGGAGGCACCAGGCTCATGATTCAATGAGAAGGCATGCTGAATATTTTGCCATCAGAATATTGTGCACTGGCCTCAGAGTGATCCTTTCATGCAAAGCACTAATCGAAATACCCAAATGGGCAGAGAGCCAGGGCATCATGGAGCTTATGGGAACAGGATGTATAATGTTTTTGTACCTGCCTCCTAAGAAATGTTTGTACTCGTGGCAGAATTTTGTCTGAGAATTATTTGCACTGCAATGTACTACTAATTGTGAAGTTGTGGGGGGAGTGGGTGGATAACTTCCACCTATGTATTGTCAGAGGCCATCTATATTTATAAGATAAAGATATCTACATTTGTAAGAATTGATTTAGGTTGGCTCACAGCAAATGGGTAGCTTCCCCACATCATCCAGAGACCAGCGGCCCACGGCCCATCAGCTTTTAGTCCGGCCCTAGTGGACGGGGCAGTTGCCTTTCAAGAGAGGGCCTAGGAGAACTGGGCATATGGTGCTGATTGCCTTTGTTGGTCATTAATAAATTGAACAATCTGGAAACCTTGGGTGGGAAAACTAGTTGAGGCTAGTCAAAACCTAGCACAGAGTGCTGTCTGTGTACCTCTTGTTACACATATAAGTCCTCATGGTGACATGGCCTTTATTAGAAGAAATCTGTCTGGGGCTTTGGAAGTATATACCCCAAAACTAAGGAAATTCATGTCTAAGTTTATAATTTCCTAGCATTAGCTACTTGCTTATGTCCATGTATATTTTCCAGTGTGATTTTGTTCTTATGCTTATCCAGTTTTCCTAAACCAAATGTTTCTCATTGCAGCATTTTTTAAAGTTATCTATTCAACAAAGTAGCCTCCTTCTATTAACCACTCAACTCATTTTCTTCATAGTGGATCCTGAAAAAGCAAGTACAAGTTTTCAATAGCCTCAGACTCTGAAAAGGGGCAATTATAGTCAAAGACCAGCCATTTAGCAAATTAATGTTTTGGTTCATTAAAACAAATTGCAGTAGAAATACAAAAATGTTATATGACTTCCAAGGTTTACATAAGCCTTACAAACATTTTTAAGGGAGAGGCAATTTAGCAGAGTGGATAATAACATGGGCTCCAGAGCCAGACTGCTGGGAAGCAAATCCTGGCTTTGGTATTTGCTACTGAATGATCTTGGAAAAGTTACTTAAACTCTCCGCACCACAGTCTCCCTACCTATAAAATTACTATAATAGTAGTACCTACTTCATGGGGTTGTTATAAAATTAAGTTCTATAAGGCACAAGATGTGCTTAGAATACTGGCTGAAACTTGTAAACATTTTAAAAATTAACTATTATTAATATTTTTAGACATCATTAATAATATCTTTAAATAAACAGGAGGCTTGTTTTAATAGAAAGAATACCAAGATTCTACTTGCAGCTTATTTACCAGCTGATGGGTGAACTGGAAAAAATAACTCGACTGCTCTGGGCTTCAGTCCTCTGATTCATAAGCTGAATTTCCAAGTTTTCCTATAATAGTAAAATGTTATGATTCTATGATATCATTCCCCATCTCTGGAGTTTAAAGAAAATACTTTAAAAGAAAGTCTTAAAAAGACATAATGTAAATAATAAAAATAAATGGAAAGGAGAAAACTGCATTTAAATTTCTCTTGAGTCAGAAGAACTGGCCACTTGTCCTTCCTAACCCCATCCCACCTTACTTTTTATTTTTCTTTTTGTTCTGGTCTGGTTCTTGGCAAACACATTGATAGGAAGATGAAAAAGAGAAAAAACTTTGAGGATAAATGGTTTGCAGATGGATTTGATGCATCCATGGGGTGGAAGCGCATGTGTGCATGCATCTTGTCTCAAGAAACCTAACAGAAATTCAGTATCCAGAGAAATTACATGAAATCAGGCCAGCATTTTATTGAAAAGAGATCAAGTCCTACACCTCTTTGGACTGGGACTGGAAAGGCTTTAGAGATGTAAGCTGTTACTTATTTTCTTGTTTATTTAAAAATATATCATGCTGTGTGCCAGAACCACATTGTTAAAAAATTATCTGTTCCTAGTAGCAGGGTCAGAGGTCTGGGGACCATGCTTTCAGGGGACATCTAGGTCAATTGGCATAACAAAGTTTATTGAAAAAATGTTCTGCATCTGGGCATCTGGGGTCTTAAAAGCTAGTGAATGGCCATCTAAGATGCATCAATTGGTCCCAACCCACCTGGAGTAAAGGAGAATGAAGAACACCAAAGTCACGAGGAAAGCGTTAGCCTAAGAGACAGAAGGGGCCACATAAACTGGAGACTGCAAAAGCCTGAGACCAGAAGAACTAGATGGTGCCTGGCTACCACCAATTACCACCCTGACAGGGAACACAACAGAGAGTCCCTGACGGAGCAGAAGAAAAGTGGGATGTAAAATTCAAATTTTAGTAAAAAGACCAGACTTCATGGTCTGAGTGAGACTGGAGGAACTCCAGAAAGCATGGCCCCCGGACTCTGTCAACCCAGCACTAAACCATTCCCAAGGCCAACTCTTCAGTCAAAGATTAGACTGGACTATGGGACATAAAATGATACTCGTGAAGAGTATGCTTCTTAGCTCAAGTAGATACATGAGACTAAAGGGGCAGCTCCTGTCCAGAGATGAGATGAGAAGGCAAAGAGGGTCAGGAGCTGGTTGAATGGACATGGGAAATCCGGGGTGGAAAGGAGGAGTGTGCTGTTACAGTATAGGGAGAGCAATTAGGGTCACATAACAATGTATAAATTTTTGTATGAGACTAACGTGAATTGTAAACTTTCACTTAAAGTACAACGATAAAATAAAATTGAAAAAAAAAAAAAAGACCTGTTCCTTCTGCACCAGAATAGGCTTGTTTTGGGGCAACTTCCCTCACAAGTCACATTTGCTATTCCATGAAACATACAGATCTCCCAGGAGTGGTAGAATGTAGACTGATGTACAAGAGCGACCCAAAGCACAGTTTGCACAAGTTTCTAACATTACCCAATCAAAGGTTAGCATACTCTAGTATTATAAGACTTTGCTGATTCCCGTAAAATGTTCATGACATTATGCATTGTGCTCATTTACAGTTTCCACCAACAGCCCCCTTTTCAGTAAAGCTCTATAGCTTGCACTGAAGATGCTGTATACATCCCCACTCCATACTCTTAACATGATGTGAGAATTCTGTTTCCGATCAACTTCTTTCCTTGTCCTATCTGGGTTACTAATATTAAGATGCTATGTGAGCACTGTTCCTTCTTCCTTTGTTAATGAGGCTTTCCTAGGCAGGCTTTCCCATCAACTCAGAAAAGCATCTCTGGGTCTGTTTGCTATCCAACCCCATTCTTCATAGTCTGTGAGTCTCCTTCAGCTCACGGAACTGCCGTTGGTGATGGGGGTTTTGGAATGTCAGTTTGAGGTTGTGCAAGCCACCGATAAAATATATCAAGGGAAAAATTATCTCAACTACCAGGGGACCAGAACCACAAAAAAGTAGTAGTTGACCCCTAAATTTTGATAAGAATAGATTTAGAACCCAGGCCTTACTATTCTATGTTGGTGTTTTTCTTAGAATAGCATAATAACTCTGCTTAATGAAGTAGAGAACAAGTTTGGTATTTTTTAATCACCTTTCTCCTCCTAGATAAATACTATTTTACTTTTCCCTGAGGAAACAATATATCCTGAATAGTTAGTAAAGAATTTTTCCCTTAGGAAGGAAAGGGAATTTCGTATCCTGTTAATATTTATAGTCAGACTTAGTTTTATAAATTGTAACTAATTCAGACACATTGGTCTAGATGGAGAAGTTTTGAGTCAGACTTAAGAGTTAAATTATTTTTTCTTGATTTGGGAATCCAGTGTTTCCTTTTCTCTCTTCAGAAGCTTGTATGATCATTGTTTCTTTCTAGAAGAATGGTATGTCCTTTGCAGGAAGCCCCCTCCCCAGCTGTGCGCAAACACCTTAAATGCCACTTCCTCCTGATCCCACCACCAGCTCTTCCTACCTGATGTTTCCCAAATAGCCTCATTTGTTCCCTTAATTGCACACAGAGTGCACTCATGTGCCTAACACTCACCAAAGCTCATGGATCTTGGCAAACTAAGCCAAATTAGAGCAAAACGCCAAAAGCTGATAAGTAAAGTGTCCATTCCAATGCACCAACTCATTTGTCATGCATTAGCTTGCCTTTGTGCATTCATTTTCCTGATTTCTGTCACCAGCCTTTATTATTAATATATGTCTTTATGGCTATTATCCTTTCAACATAGAATTTCTAGAACTAGGTCTAGGTTCTCCATTCCCAAGATTAACCAACGTTTAACATAAAATAAAAAACAACCTACAGAGCTGCAAGGCTAATTGTGATAGCATCTCTCACGTACTGCCTCACTAACCTTTTATTTCTGCAGTTTGTGCTTGTATGGGTTAAGATCAATGTGCAGAGATCAATGTACCTCCTTGCACTTTTCCACAGGAGGAGTTCAGAGTTGGTGGTGCAGGTGACACCTGAACCAAAAATGCAGAGGAAGTGGGTCATGATCAGAGGTACTTCCTGAGGAGTAGGGGACTTTGAAGATGAGAACCCCTCCCTAGAATCCATCTCAGAGTTCTAAGGCCAGGTATTAGGGGGTTATTTCTGTGCTCAGTAGAACTATTTGATCTAGTCCCTGTGATATAGCTCTTGGTGATGACACTTCCAACCTAGAGAACACTGTGTTATTTTGTCTTCACTGTCTTAGAGCTCAAGGTGAGAAATTCCATCTCACAAATACTGTGCTCATAAATGTGGTGTCTTGAAAGTGAATGCAACAGAGGAGGGCAACAGAGGCTGCAGGCACAGAATAGGAAAGACAGGCATGTTCACCCCCTCTTAGGTCTCTCAGCCATTATGGAGGTTCTCTGAGGACCCCTGGAGACTGGGAGATACATGAGACCCTCCAATTGACAAGGTTTACCCTCAGATCACAGTCCCTGGGTGGTGCAGATAGTTAATATGCTTGGCTGCTAACCAAAAGGTTGGTGGTTCAAGTCCACCCAGAGCCACTTCAGAAGAAAGGCCTGGCAGTCTACTTCTGAAAAATCAGTTATTGAAAACCGTATGGAGCACAGTTGTACTGTGACATACATGGGGTTGCCATGAGGCAGAATCGACTCCACAGCAACTGGTTTACCCTCAAATCGTGAGCTCTTCCATAAAGGCTTGAAAAACTGCTCCTCCTATGAGTCATCTTTATGTGACACAACTGCCTGCACAGAGAGTACTCTTTCCCTCTTAATATGTCTCTTCTAGTCATCGATAAAGCCATATTTCTCCAGTCAATCAGAGGCCATATTCCACAAGTACACAAATTGGGTCTCAAAGGCTCAGTTTCCTATTCATTTACTCTGATTATCTTGAGTTGCTCATGACTATTTGACCTAAAGTTAAGGCCTACACTTAATCACATAAGGTATTCTAACAACACTGGGCATAATGTGAGCTTCACTTAATTTTTCTAATCCCCTTTCCTGACCTCCAACCCAGCTCTTCAGTGTCAGCCTAACACATGAACTTTCCTGAAGTGAACACAAGAAAATACGTTTCTATAAAGTCCTTAGCTCAAACTTCTTCACTTCCTAGTTGGTTGATAAAGTCATAGATTTTCCTCCCAGTGGTTCTTATCTCTTTTTAGGGGAAGAAATGGTGTCACAGACCCAGTCGAGATCTGCTGTATGTTATAGACCCTTTCCTCAGATAATTGTACATGCAAACTCACACATCATTGAAGGTTGTTTCAAGACCCTGTGAGGTTCATCCATGAGCTCCAGGCCCACCCACAAACCCCAGAGCTGGAGTCTGGATGACTAAGAAAGTCTTGCTTCCCAGTAAGAAGGAAAATCTGCCCATCAGATGCTAAAATATAAAGAGATAAAATTCACAGTGGAAAATACTTTTGATTATTTCAGGTCTTATTTTAGTAACAGTGAAAGTAATACTTAATATTTAATCAGTTTGGATTCAGGATTCAGAGGAATGTCTAAACATTAATTTAATCAACGACAGAAAAAGAATAATACTGAGAGCCACTCTTAGACTTTTGCAGAATAGCTATGCAAAAGTTATTTTTTCCAGTTAATTTTTGGTTCAATTTTCCCCTGGGTAACTATAAGCAGTTCATAAGAACATGCTGATCTACTAGGAATTAGATGGGCTCCCTTGGTGTAATACTTGAAGATTTTCTGCTATCTTTTTTTGAAGTGTCTAATCCAGACAATCTGATACTGCAACCTGCCATTTCCATTGAGACAGAAAGTATTTTACATTAATTTTTAGTTATGCAAAGGATCATAGTAAATAATCATATGAGCTCTTATTCAAATTATGAAGCATTTTTACTGTTCAATAACTTCAAGCAAATAAACCTGTACAGAGTAGTTTCCTTAGCTATACAACATGTGGAAAATATAGATTATAACCCTGACATTTACATCAAATCTCAGCCTTCAAGGGAAGAAGGTGCCAAAATACTATAAAATCTGATTTGTCTGACATTTTATCAGGACTCTCTCTACTTATAATACTTCTGAAACCATTTATATATATATATAAAGCTGAAGCAAGATAGAAATCATTATGGAATAAATTACATTCACAAATGTTTTATTATAATATGTAATTTTTTATTCCTAGTATTTGAAATTTGATAATTTATGCTCCATAGATCTGATAAATCTATTACTCAGAACACTTTGTAACTAACAGTTTTGTTATTAAATAAACTGCATAGACAGTGTAAAAAGTTTTAAAAATACAGAAGAAAACAAAAAGTACCAGTAATTATATCCCCAGGGTGTACATATGAGAGAGATTTCTCTCCATAGAGAAGTTTAACCTCTATAATGATAGCAGAAATTTTTTACTTCAGTCATCTCTCATGTTACTTTATCTCTCATGTTAATTAGTTTATGCTTTCTTCTTCTCATTTCAACATGCTCTTCCTTTGTATTC